CTGTAGGTGTTGTGCTCTGTCAGTGCTGTAAATCAGTATGTCAATCAGGTAGACGATGACGCATATATATAAAAGTGGGCAAAACGCCTCCTTCATCGTCGTCTGAAAAGCGGCGGAGGCATTGGTCACTCCGAATGGCATCACGGTGTATTCAAATGAGCCGTAGCAGTTAGGAAGGCGGTTTTCGGGCAGTCGTGTGTGCTGACTGGTGGTAACCTCGTCGAAGGTAGATCTTCGAGAAGATGCGGGCAGTGCAAAGTTGGTCGATGAGTTCGTCGACTCGTGGGATGGGGTAACGAAACTTGATCGTAACCCTATTTAATGTGCGGTAGTCGATGCACATACGAAATATCCCGTCCTTCTTCGGTGTGAACAGTATGGCCGCGGCGAAGGGTGACAAACTCGGGCGAATTGATTTCTTCTTGAGAATGTAATCTAGTTGCTTCTCCAGTTCGTCCAGTTCAGGTTGGGTCAGTCGGAACTATTGCTGTACTGTCGGCTGTGCTCCCAGTTCCAACTGTATGTTGTGGTTGTGTGGTCGCTGAGGTGGCAGTCCCTCCGATAGGTCGTCGGGAAAATACTTTCAGTATTATTTTTAACAGTGCTGCCATGTCATCCGGTACATCGACGATCCGTTTTTGTAAACCGCTCGGTCTATCTGCTACCTCGGCTTCCCGGGTGTCGACCGCGTACATGCCAGCTCCTGTCGCTACATCGCAATTCATCGTGATGGCATTGACCCGAACCTTCAAAGACGCGGGCGAGTTCCAGCGATATAAGGCGATGTTGTTACCGTTGACTCGCACAGTGCAATCGCTCGTCGTCTAGTCTATCCGTGGATTGTTTCGTCGCAGCCAATCGGCCGAGCAAAATATTGGTTCCGTCGAGGGTCGTTGCCAGCACTTCCTGGGTGAAAGTGTTGTTACCCTCGCAGCGAATCCGAACTCGGTCCACGCGTTCCTGTATCGCCAGTGGCTTGCCGTCGACCAGTCTTACGTCGATCTCAGGTAAATATGGATCCAGTTGGAGTTAAAGTTTCCGTGCAGTGGCAATATTAATTAAGCTATGGCTAGCCCCTCCATCCACGAATATCTTAACTAAGTCTGTGTGAATTTTCCCGCTAAGCACTATGGGACTATCTAACCCTGTACCCTCCTTGTTTAGCCGTGTGTGGTCGACCACAAGAATCGGCACTGTCACTCGGTGAGGGTCGGTTGGGTCTGCTACTGACTCCCAGCGTTTCCCTGCTGCTTGGTTTGTTTCTGCTGCTCGGCTCCCTCTTTTCCCTTAGCTTCCAGGCATTCGCTTTTGCGGTGCCCCTGCGTGTTGCACGCGAAGCAGCGCCCCTTAAACGGTGAAGCAGCGGCATTCGTGGCGACGGTGCGTATCGTGGCGTGCTTGTTCGTCCCACATGTCATGTGTCCCCAGTAGCTGTTATTGTTGTAGGACCCCGTCCTCTGTCGTCGGAGAAAATCGAGTTTCTCGGCCATGGCAAGAATTTCGTTAAATTCTGAGACGCCGCGGAGCAGGATTTCCAGCGCAATTTCGTTTTTAAGACCGCCGACATAGCGATCAATGCGCCCAGCTTCGTGCATGTAGCCCACTTGCTCGCACAATGGCAGGAACCCGCTAATGTGGTCTTGGACGAAACCGAGTTGGCGCCAAGTGCGCAGTTTCTGACGCACGGAAATCGACGCCGCGATTGGCTCGAATCTCTCTCGTAGACCTGGGCACCACACGTCCCGCTTGGGATACTGGGCGAACTCCACGATGCGCAGAGTCCATAAAGTTCTTCCCGTGGCGGTAGAGTCTCATAGTCGCTCGGCTTCGTGATGATGACGCGCCACCAATCCATGGCGGGTCCTTGCAGTAACGACACGGCGTAACGGATATTCGCAGCGTCCGGCGAGACGTAGTTAGCGTCGAAGAAAACGTTTAGCGTGAAGAACCACGCCTGAACCGTCAGACCACCCCGTTGACCCGGGTCGAAGCATGGCGGACGCTTCGGCTTGAGGGGCATCGGTGACGAGAGTGTCGAGTCATCAATAGGCGTGTTGCGCCCGAATGATGTCATTCTGGAGCGACGTGAGTCGTAAGTGCCGCGATTCCTTTGCTGCTTTCACGCAGTTGGCGCGTCAGCTCATCCATGCGCTCCTCCGTCAGGCTGGCGAGGTCGATATGATCTGCCATTTCGAAGGGCCTCGGCCGGCTTAGATGCTAGGCGCAGTCGTGGCTGCACGTGCTTGCGACAGAGCACGAGGGCAGCGGCTCCTAGTACGCTGAGGGGAGTAAAAATCAAAAGTTAAAGCCCAAGACCTGAATTAAAAAAAAACTAGGGCAAACTGTGCACAGTTTGCCTCCCGCAGCCCACAGTTTTGTCAAACATACTAAGTAGTCGGGCCTAGGCTTAGTAGCCTAGGCCACAGGAAGACTAGAACGAGGCGACAAGTACGAGCGAGAGTTGTGTGCACGAACAGGAATGAGGAAGGAATGATTGGACTAGCAAGCAGCAGGACACAAATAGCAAACCCTAAGGGGATGTACTCACTATTGAGTACCCCACTGCAGGCTACACAAACAACATATTCTGACACACCCCCATAGCCAAAGTGGGGTGTAATCAGCACAATGAGCAGTCATAGCAATAGTTCACAATTAATAAGCAGAGCTAGAGGCAGACACAGAGGGCAAGTGAGGAGGAGGAGGGACTGCGAGAGGAGAGAAGATGGGAGGCAACGACTGAAGCTGCAGACACACGGGCAAAGGAGTGCGCACTCAGTGGCTACCGGCGACTAGTGCCCCGGATTACAGGAGTAACAGGCTCTGCGGGTGCGACGAGCGGCAGGAGCAACGGACCCACGGGCGACAGGTGCAGCAAGCTCTCTGAGCTACCGGCGGCCACTAGAACCCCGGACTACAGGCGCTGCGGACGACACGACGACAGCCTCCACTCAACCTCCTCCAACTGTCCCACACCCCCCACACACACCCCCTGCTGCACCCCTAGCTCCACTCCCACATCACCCCCCTAGCTCCACTCCCCGCGGCTCCCACACCTCCACCCCCCTCAGCAGCAGCTGCAGCAGTGGGAGACGAAAAAAGGAGGAGGGGAAAGGGAAGGGGAGCACCCACACCTCGCACCCCCATGCTCGCCACCCCACACCCCCACCACCGTGGAACGCACGGCGGAATGGGAGCAATGGGCAGCACGGGGGGGGGGGGGGGGGACGGGACGGGCTGCAGGGACGGGCCGCGGGCTGCTGCAGGGGCAGCTGGCGCGGGTCCTGGGGCGGCTGCTGCAGGCACGGGCTGCTCCAGGGGCGGCTGCTGCAGGTGCGGGCTGGTCCTGGGGCGGCTGCTGCAGGCACGGGCTGCTCCAGGGGCGGCTGCTGCAGGTGCGGGCTGCTCCAGGGGCGGCTCCAGGGGCGGCCGCTGCAGGTGAAAGGTAGGAGGAAGGGGGGGGGAAGAGCGCGGCCCCCAGGGCGCCCCGACGGGCGACGAGAAAGGGAGCCGCGCGGCCCCCCAGGGCCGCCGCGAGGGGCGACGGGAAGGGCGCCGCGCGGGCCCCCAGAGCCGCCGCGACGGGCGACGGGAAGGGCGCCGCGCGGGCCCCCAGAGCCGCCGCGACGGTCGACGGGAAGGGCGCCGCGCGGGCCCCCTGGAGCGCCACGACGGGCGACGGGAAGGGGAGGCCGCGCGGCCCCCGCGGTCGCCACGACGGGCGACGGGAGGGGGGGGCGCGCGGGCCCCCGTGGTCGCCACGACGGACGACGTGAGGGGAGGCCGCGCGGGCCCCCGTGGTCGCCACGACGGACGACGGGAGGGGAGGCCGCGCGGGCCCCCGTGGTCGCCACGACGGACGACGGGAGGGGAGGCCGCGCGGGCCCCCGTGATCGCCACGACGGACGACGCGGAGGGGTAAGCCGCCACGCGCCCCGAGCGCGCGGCGGGCAGAAACCCTAATTTCGGCGCCGCGCACCACGGGGCGCGCGGCAGACAGTACGGCAGCGGAAGCAGGTGGTGGGCCCATACACAGGAAGGCGGCAGACATGCCGCCCTCTGATACCATGTCAAACATACTAAGTAGTCGGGCCTAGGCTTAGTAGCCTAGGCCACAGGAAGACTAGAACGAGGCGACAAGTACGAGCGAGAGTTGTGTGCATGAACAGGAATGAGGAAGGAATGATTGGACTAGCAAGCATCAGGATACAAATAGCAAACCTTAAGGGGCTGTACTCACTATTGAGTACCCCACTGCAGGCTACACAAACAACATATTCTGACAAGTTTTGCCCTGCGTTGACTTGCGTTGAACAATTCAGGTCTTGGGCTTTAAGACGTTGCTGGTTGCGGAAAAAAATGTGCAGTCCGAAAAGGGAAGTAGCTTTGATAGCCAAGTATTACGGGTGCAATGAAGCGAGGTAGCGATGATTGCAATATTGGTACATTCATGTATCGAGACAAATGTCTCAACCCTATTGTGACACCCAAAAACAACATATATTGTATCGTGTCACAATCGCGCGTCGCCCTAATGCGACTTCTACTGTATTTCACATTGGTTAGCGTTGAATGTGCTAAAGTCGCTGACGAGTTAGATGAGGCCCCGTCACGTCCAACCCGTCGCACGCGTGTCGAAATGTCAAAGTCTCGGCCGACCCGACCGCATGCACCTGGACACCCCACGAAGTGCCAGATTTGAGTGGGAAAAGAACCCGCTCTCTACGGACAGCCGAGAACATGGTGCAGTCCCTGCCAGACATGCACCGTGCCCTCGTGCAAGACTGCCCGCCGAAACCACTCCATCTCCAGAGCCCATACCCACCCCTCCCTCTCCATCGTGTTCAATTCCGTCTCCTCCCAATTCCATTTATTGTTTCTCTTTCTGCCACTTCTCTAGATCTACTCTACTTGCTAGCCATGGCGCGTAAGCGCAAGAACAATGCGGCCACACACGACACTTGCCGCGGGATCTCAATGAGATTTCATACATCGGCTGGATGAACAAGCAGATTGCCGCTGGTCGCAAGCCCGCCGACCCTGTTCCCGTGGGTACTACGTCGCCGGGCGGCACTTCCTTTGAAGCCCCCCGTGACGTGCCATCCTGTGTGCGCCGTGGTTCTGATCGGGTAGCGTCAACATGCACCGTTGACGACGACACCTTCCTCAACGAGGAGGACGAGTCCGACTATAACGAGTACGGTATTGGCACGGACGACGACGACGACTCGGGTGACAAGGAAGACAAGGGCATGTCCGACGATGACGACGAGGCGGAGGGCGACGACGACGAGGTTCCGGAGGAAGCGCAGCCCGAGATACATGCTGGTCGTCATGGCCATTCCAATCCCGCAAGCGGGATTAAGACCGCCGCCAAGGGTGGTGATCCCCCCCGCCGTGCGCCGAAGACCCGCGATCAGATCCCTGTCAAGCGGAGCTGCTGGTCTCAGCGGGAGAATGCGATCTTCGTCGCCGCGCGCTGGTTCACGAAGGATGAAGTCGAGCCACTCATCGAGAAGCAGGGCTCTCAGTACTGGGCCCGCCTTGTGCTTTGCATCGAGAAGGAGAACCCCGACAGGGAGCGCGACGTTAATGCCGAAGCACTGGCGCAACCTCGTGAGCATCTACAAGCAGTTGAAGAAGGGGGAGAAGGCGTCGGGGAAAGGTGCGGTGTGCAAGCCTCCTTGGTTCCCCTACATGGAGCTGTACCAGAACAACCGTGCGACCGCGAACCCCCGCGCAGTAGACGGTGGCGGTGCGACGAACGTCAACGTGCCATGCGGATTTGCCGTGCCCTCTACTTCCGCACCTGCCACGTCCATTCCAACGTTCACAGGTTTGTGTTTGTTCCTTTCATGTTTGATGTATTCTTTTGTGCTATGGGTTTTCCACCTTTCAACTGTTGCACTTATTAATGATACCGTGGATCTTAAAGTAGGCATTCAGCTCATAACATGTCATCTCTGTTACGTTTCTGCTTCTCCAGCGCCCCCTCCGCAGAGTACCCCTACATCCAACCGTCCTCGCGTTGCAGAGACGGCCATCATGGCAGAAGCCAAGCTGGTCTGTTTCACCATCAAGGGGTGCCACGTTGACGCGATGTCCAAGCTTCAGGGCCTCGTGCGCGCCTGGATGCAGCAGGATGAGCTGCTTGCAAGCGAGCGCATGCAACAGACCGCCCCAGCTCCACCACCGCGTTATGACGTTCTCGAGGGGGCGGCCGCCCAGCCCGCGACAGCCGGCGCCGAAGGGGCCGACGACGGATGGTACCGTCACGCACAACCAACAGATGGTACCACTAACCAAAATGCGGGCGAGGAGGAGGTGTGGGTTCGCGGCGTCGACAAGTAAGGTAAGACGACTCAAACGCCTCACCAAGCCGTTTGCGCCGTTCACGCAATGTCGCTTGAGTGCATGGGACACACGGCTCCCACTTGAACTCGGATACGGCGCCTCGTGTCCACCATGGGTCCCTGTTTCGCGGTAGGTTGGCCTACCCGATGTTGATGCGCCTGACTTGACCATTGTTTCGCACATGTTGTGCAGGATTACGCAACAAGAGGCCCTTGCAAGCACGCGCCACAGCTTGCAGTCGTTGCGGCCCGCGAATAGACGCCATCTGCCCTTGAAGGCGCCGATGCAACGCTCTATTGCCATGCGAGTCGCGCTCTGGCAGTAGTTGAGGCACTGCTCCCAGTCTTCCATTATGCCCTCTCGTGGTGCATGTGTCGAGAAACGCTAGCAGAAAGTTTGAAACAGAAAAAGGGTTTGCACTAGGAGCAGATAGGATACATATAGCAAACCCTAATTTGGGTTGTACTCACTATAGAGTACTCCACTGCATACTAGACAATTATAGCATTCTGACACACCCCCATAGGCAAAGTGGGGTATGGGTAATATATTGCACTGCCTGCATCAGCAGGCAGTGCAATGAGTCAGCGGGCAAGAAAAAAAAATAAACCCCAGATGGAAGGCATGCAACTCGGGAGGCATCAACCCTAAAATTTTAGGGTTGAGGATCCAGAATGGCATGCAGTCCGGATGGGTTTTAGTTTTTTCTGCCCGCGGGCAGAATGCTGACTCACCCTGTAGCGTCGTTTAGCGAAACGGTAGCGCTACCGAGCGCTACCGACGCTACCGAGTGAGATGTATTGATCAGCACAGCAAGCAGTCGCATAGGAAGTTCACAAGCACAAGCAATGCTAGAGGCAGTCACAGAAGGAAAGTGAGGAGGAGGAGGGACTGTGAGAGTGGAGATAGGAGGCGACGGGTGAAGCCGCAGACACACGGGCAAGAGGAGCGACGCACACGGTGGCTACCGGAGCAAGGGCCCCGGACTACAAGAGTAACTGGCTCCGCGGCTAAGACGAGCGGCAGGAGAAACGGACCCACGGGCGACTCGCGCAGCAGGCTCGCTGTGCTACCGGAGCAAGGGCCCCGGACTACTGGCGCTGGTGACGTCACGACGGCTACCTCCGCTCAACCTCCCCCAACTGTCCCACACCCCTTTCACACACCCCTTGCTGCACCCCTAGCTCCACTCCCACGACACCCCCCTAGTGCCACTCCCTCGGCTCCCACACACCCACCCCCCTCAGCGGCAGCTGCAGCAGTGGGAGACGGAGGAGGAGGAGGAGCAGGAAAACGGCTCACACACCCGCCACCCCCATACCCGCCACCCCCATACCCCCAACGCAGGCGGCGCACGTGCGGCGCGGGGCAGATACGCGGGCAGCAGCTGGGGCGCTGCGACGGGCGACGGGCAGGGCGTCGCGCGGGCCCCCAGGGCGCCGCGACGGGCGACGAGAGGGGGCGACGCGCGGGCCCCCAGGGTGCCGCGACGGGCGACGGGCAGGGCGGCGCGCGGGCCCCCGGGGCGCCGCGACGGGGGACGGGAGGGGGCGGCGCGCGGGCCCCCGGGACGCCGCGACGGGCGACGTGAGGGGACAGCGCGCGGGCCCCCGGAGCGCCGCGACGGGCGACGGGAGGGGGGACGGCGCGCGGGCCCCTGGGGTGCCGTGACGGGCGACGAAACCGCCGCGCGCGCCCCGAGCGCGCGGCGGGAAGAAAACGTCGCGCGCCCCGGGCGCGCGACAGGCAGGACAGCAGCGGAAGCAGGTGGGCCCACAGGCGAGGAGCGTTCTCGCTCTGATAGCATGTCGAGAAACGCTAGCAGAAAGTTTGAAACAGAAAGAGGGGTTACTGATAAATAACGAGGAATGAATTGACAGTACCCCATATGTGCTACCACACTATAGCCTACAGTAGCTATGTCATATAAATCTGACACACCCCCATAGGCAAAGTGGGGGAGAACAAGGGGTCACAAGACCAGTCAAGCAAAGCAAAGCAAGCTCAGGGTGGATCACAAAGTCACCACACATTCCGAGCACAAGTTCAAGGCCACAAGGCCAGTTCACATGCAGGATTGCATATATATATAAGGCTAGACAAGCAAGAGCAGGTGTATATATATATGCAACAGTACAAACAAGGTCAAGGGGTGAGCAAGTGAGGCAAGGTAGGCACAAGACCCAGCTGAGTACAGAAGCGCTGATGATCACAAGGCGGGAGTGCCTTGGTGAAGATATCAGCAGTGTTGGCCTCAGAGGCCACGGACGCAAGCCGCAGCTGACCACGCTGCTGTAGCTCACGAGCAAGGAAGTAGCGGAGAGCAATGTGCTTCGTTCTGTGCTCCAGTCTCTGCTCTCGACACAAGGCCAGCATGGCCTTGTTGTCTACGTACAGCACTGGAGGAGAACGAGGCGGCTCTCCGAGGTCAGTCAGCAGGTAGGTGAGCCAGCGAAGCTCCTGTGCAGCCATGGCACCGGCGTAGATCTCAGCCTCACAACTGGAGCCGAGAACAGAAGACGAGCGGGTAGCCCGCCACGAAACAGAGCCGGAACCAAGGCTGAAGGTGTAACCCTGTGACGACCACTGCGTAGCCTGGTCGTCAGCCCAAGAAGCGTCTGCGTGCCCAGTGAGGACCACTGGACTCTGCCCTCCAAGCACAAGCCCCATGCCCGACGTACTGCACAAGTAGCGCAACACCCTCTTCGCTGCAGCCATGTGCTCCGGTCTGTGTCTCCCAGGAGCAACATAGCGTGCAAGAATGCTAAGAGGGTATGCAAGGTCAGGTCGTGTGCAGGTCATCAGGTACATGAGGCAGCCAACAAGATCTGGGTACGGGCCACTCGACTCTACGGACTCATCCGAAGGCAGAGCTGAGAGCGAGTGGCGAGTAGGCAGAGGAGTGGCCTGAGGCGAGGAGTACGTGAAGCCAAAGCGCTGAAGGACCTGCTGCACCATGTGTGACTGAGTAAGGGTAATGGTGCGGCGTGCTCTGTCCCGGGTGATCTGCAAGCCAAGGTAGCTGCGCAGTTCACCCAGGTCTGTGCACGTGTGTCTCTTCTGCAGCTCGGACTTCACGTGGGTGAGTCCAGCAGTGTCAGCTGTGGCGAAGACCAAGTCGTCGACGTACACGAGGATGTAGAACGGCGGCAAAGAAGTGTCGGTGCGCAGAAACAGCGACGGGTCGGCAGTAGAGGGAGCAAACCCAAGAGCCGCAAGCGTAGTCCTCAGTGTGTCGTGCCACTCACGCGGTGCCTGGCGGAGACCATAGACTGGCCGCCGGAGGCTCCACTGGGTGCCAGGAGGAAAGGACCCAGTGAAGCCAGGTGGGCGACGCAGCCAGATCTCCTCGTGCAGGCTGCCCTGCAAGAAAGCAGTGCTGAAGTCAAGAGAGTGCAGCTCGTAGTCGCGGTGAGCAGCTATGTGCAGCAGTACCCGAAGAGTGGTCATCTTCGGGGTGGGAGAGAAGGTCTGAAAGTAGTCAACTCCCTGCCGCTGACTGAAGCCACGAGCCACGTAACGCGCCTTGAAGACAGGCGGAGAACCCGGCGGCCGCTTCACCCTGAAAATCCACATGCCACTGACGATGTTCGCCCCAGGCGGGGGAACCTCGTCAACGTAGGTGCCTGTGCACTTCCAGGAAGCCATCTCTGCGTCCATAGCTGCCTGCCACTGAGAGGAGTAGGGACCCTCTATCGCCTCCGCGTAAGAGCGCGGAGTCGGGATGTCAAGTGCATCCGGGTCTCCCTCAGGGGTAAGCAGTACGGACACGAGATGAGGTGAAGCAGCAGCCAAACACTGGAACTCCTCCTGCCTGTCCTCAAGGACGTCCGTGCCAAGGGCACACTCACCCCCGACGGACGGAGGACAGACAGACTCAGACTCAGCAACAAGACTAGCAGCGTAGTCTAGACGACAGCGAGCAGCAAAGTCGACGAGCTCAGTAACTAGTGCAGACGCAGCAGTGGACTCAAAGGAAGGGTCAGTGACAACAGTAGCAAGGAGACGCGTGACAGTAGGACTGGCAGCACGAAGAGAGTCCGACTCCGGGTCAGGAAGAGCAGGAAGAGAGGACTCAGGAGGAGAAGGCAAAGGGGCACGCAGAGGAGCAGTGGACGGACACAGAGACATCCGGTGCGTGCCAGGGACAGGAGGAGGACGCTGACGCGAACCACGACCACTAGTGCGAGCAGCACGGACAGGCGACGCAGGGCGAGACGCAGGCTCACGGCGCTCAGCAAGACCTCCAGTAGGACCAGTGTAGGGAGAAGGAGCGGGCAGTGGGGAGGCCGGCTGTAACTGTAACTGTGACGGGACAGGCTGTGGACACTCTAAGGGAGGAGGAGGACCAGTAGAAGGCGGGAGACCAAGAACCTGCTGAAGGAGTGGAACGAAGTACGGCCGAGGCCGCGCGGCGACTCCAGACACAGCAGGGACAGCACCAGTACCCCCAGCGGCAGCACCAGCGCCAGCAGCACCTCCAGCTCCAGTACCTCCAGCAGCACCAGTAGCACCCCCAGCAGGACCGCCTCCAGGACCGACAGCAGTAGCCTCAGCGCCAACACCCTCAGCAGCTCCAGCTCCAGTCGTACCCGCAGGCCCAGCAGCTCCAGTACTCCCAGTACGAGCACCTCCGGGACCCGCGGCACCAGTACCCTCAGCAGCCGAAGAACCTCCAGCTCCAGCAGCACGCCTCCAGCGCCGGGCAAACCACTCGCGCAGCTCCTGTGGAGAGAGTGGCTCCCGCCGAGACGAAGCACCTGGAGAACCTCCAGGCTCAGCACCGCCAGACGCCACACGAGCAGGCCCAGCTCCCTCAGGCTCCGCACCCCCAGGCTCAGCACCTCCAGGCGTAGCACCCCAAGGCTCAGCTCCCCCAGGCGTAGCACCCCCAGGCTCAGCACCCCCAGTAGTAGCACCCCCAGGCTCAGGACCCCCAGTAGTAGCACCCTCAGGCTCAGCACCCCCAGGCGTAGCAACCACACGCTCAGCACCCC